AGCTGGGGACACGGGGGGGGACAGCTGGGGACAACGGAGGTGGGAGGGGCGCTGGGGACAAAGATGGTGGGGAGGGAGGGGACGGTAAGGATGAGGAGGCTGGTGACGGTGAGGAAGGACAAGGGCTCCTGGGTGACGATGATGAAGGACGAGGACTCAGGTGACGATGACGAAGGCTCTTGGGTCACCATGATGAAGGTCAAGGGTTCTTCGGTGACGATGACGAAGGACAAGGACTCTTCAGTGACCATGATGAAGGACAGGGACTCTTGGGTGACGATGATGAAGGTCAAGGGCTCTTCGGTGACAATGACGAAGGACTCTGGTGACCATGATGAAGGTCAAGGACTCTTCGGTGACGATGACGAAGGCTCTTGGGTCACCATGACAAAGGACAGGAACTCTTCGGTGACGATGACGAAGGCTCTTGGGTCACCATGATGAAGGTCAAGGGTTCTTCGATGACGAAGGTCAAGGACTTTCTGGTGACGATGACGAAGGACGGGGGTTCTTCGGTGACGATGACGAAGGACGGGGACTCTGGTGATGATGATGATGGACTCTAGTGACCATGATGAAGCTCAAGGACTCTTCGGTGACGATGATGAAGGCTCTTGGGTCACCATGATGAAGGTCAGGGGCTCTTTGGTGACGACGATGAAGGACAAGGACGATGATGATGAAGACCAAGGGCTCTCCGATGACGATGATGAAGGCTGAGGACGATGGTGACGAAGACCAAGGGTTCTCCAAGGTTGGTGAAGGCTGATGATGATGAAGACCAAGGGCTCATCAAGGACGATGACGAAGGCCGAGGATGACGATGATGAAGACCAAGAGCTCTCAGAGGACAATGACAAAGACCAAGGGCTCTCTGATTGAGGATGACGATGATGAAGAGCAAGAGCTCTCCAAGGACGATGACAAAGACCAAGGGCTCTCCGATGACGAAGGCTGAGGATGATGATGATGAAGAGCAAGAGCTCTCCAAGGACGATGACAAAGACCAAAGGCTCTCCGATGATGAAGGCTGAGGATGATGATGATGAAGACCAAGACCAAGGGCTCTCAGAGGACGATGACGAAGATCGAGGATGACAATGGTCAAGACCAAGAGCTCTCTGATGATGAAGGCTGAGGATGACGATGATGAAGACCAAGAGCTCTCCAAGGACGATGACGAAGACCAAGGGCTCTCAGAGGACGATGACGAAGGCCGAGGATGACGATGACAAAGGCCGAGGACTCTCAGAGGACGATGACGAAGGCCGAGGATGACGATGACAAAGACCAAGGGCTCTCCAAGGTGGAAGGACGAGGGCTCTCCGAGGACGACGACGAAGGGACTCTTCCGAGGATGACGATGGCGGCAGTGAAGGACAAAAAGGATTTTTTTTTTTCGTTGGGTTTTTTTTTTTTCTCTTTTCTCCTAAGATGACCTCAAGCCTCTTCTTCGGCCTCTTCCCCAAAATCTTCCTCTTCCTCGGCCGTAGCGTCTTGATATTGTTGATATTCGGAAACCAGATCGTTCATGTTGCTTTCGGCTTCGGTAAATTCCATTTCGTCCATTCCTTCGCCCGTGTACCAGTGGAGGAAGGCTTTCCGACGGAACATGGCGGTAAATTGTTCGGAAATCCGTTTGAAAAGCTCTTGAATCGCCGTGCTGTTGCCGATAAAAGTCACGGCCATCTTCAGCCCGCGCGGCGGGATATCGCAAACGGCCGTTTTCACGTTGTTGGGGATCCACTCGACGAAATAAGAACTATTTTTATTTTGAACGTTGAGCATTTGTTCATCGACTTCTTTCATCGACATCCTCCCGCGAAAAACCGCCGCAACCGTTAGGTAACGACCGTGGCGCGGGTCGCAAGCCGCCATCATATTTTTCGCGTCGAAAACTTGTTGAGTTAATTCCGGGACGGTGAGAGCTCGGTATTGTTGACTTCCGCGAGATGTTAACGGTGCGAATCCCGGCATGAAAAAATGAAGTCGAGGGAACGGAACCATGTTGACGGCTAATTTACGTAAATCGGCGTTGAGTTGACCGGGAAAACGTAAACAAGTGGTGACGCCGCTCATGGTGGCCGAAACGAGATGGTTGAGGTCACCGTAAGTGGGCGTGGTTAATTTGAGGGTACGGAAACAAATATCGTAAAGAGCTTCGTTATCGATACAATACGTTTCGTCCGTATTTTCTACTAATTGATGAACGGACAAAGTAGCGTTGTAGGGTTCTACCACCGTATCGGAAACTTTCGGAGATGGAACCACGCTGAAAGTATTCATGATCCGATCGGGATATTCTTCTCGAATTTTAGAAATTAAAAGGGTTCCCATACCGGAACCGGTACCACCGCCCAAGGAATGGGTTAACTGGAAACCTTGGAGACAATCGCAACTTTCCGCTTCTTTCCTCACCACGTCCAAAACGGAATCTACCAGTTCGGCCCCTTCCGTGTAGTGACCTTTGGCCCAGTTGTTGCCAGCGCCGCTCTGGCCTGGGGTGGGGACAAGGTGGGGACGTCACCGAGGGGAGCGGAGGTCTTTGGGGTTTTGGGTTGGGGGTAGTTTGGGGATCTTCAGGCACGACTTGAGGACTTTGGGGACCTTCAAACCACCCTTGGGGACCTTCAAACCAACCTTGGTCACCTTGGGGACCTCCATCCCACCCTTGGGGACATTCTGTCAACCTCCTTGGGGACCTTCCAACCATCCTTAATGACCTTGGGGACCTTCATCTCACCTTTGGGGACCTTCATCCCATCCTTGGGGACCTTCAAACCAACCTTGGGGACCTCCATCCCCCTCTTGGGGACCTTCAAACCAACCTTGGTCACCTTGGGGACCTCCATCCCACCCTTGGGGACCTTCAAACCGACCTTGGGGACCTCCATCCCATCCCTGGGGACCTTCAAACCAACTTTGGGGACCTCCATCGCATCCTTGGGGACCTTGGAGACCTCCATCCCACCCTGGGGGTCCTTGGGGACCTCCATCTCACCTTTGGGGACCTTGATCCCAACCTTGGGGACCTTCAAACCAACCTTGGTCACCTTGGGGACCTCCATCCCAACCTTGGGGACCTTCAAACCAACCTTGGGGACATTCTGTCAACCTCCTTGAGGACCTTGGTCCCACCCTTGGGGACCTTCCATCAACCTCCTTGGAGACCCTGAGCCCCTTGGGGACCTTGACCCCACCCTTGGGGACCTTTTGTCCCCCTCCTTGGGAACCCTGAGCTCCTTGGGGACCTCCATGACCTTCCTTGGGGACCTTTTGTCACCCTTCTTGGGGACGTCCACCCCCCCGTGGAGATATCTGAAGCTCCTGGTGGACCTCTAAAGACCTTGGCCACCAAGAAGGGGACAATAGTGACCTGCCACCGCACTGTGACATCCATGTGAGGGCCACCAAGGAGGAATGTGTCACTTGACCCCATGGGCCACCACCAGGACCCCGTGGGCCACCATGGTGATGGTCACCGAGGTGCCTCATGGTGACCCAAATGAAGACTAATGCCACCTGGCCATGATGGGGACCCCCAGGTCACCTAGGGGGACACGGGAGGGGACACAGGTGACACCGGGTGACGAGGGGACTTACCGAAAACAAAGTTGTCCGGCCGGAAGATCTGCCCGAAGGGTCCTGAACGCACTGAGTCCATGGTTCCGGGTTCCAGATCCACCAAGATGGCCCTTGGGACGTACTTACCCCCTGGGGACATCATCGTGTCACCAAGGGTGGGGTGACAGTGACAACGTGATGTCACCTCCTCACCCCCAGAACCCCCCGAGGAAGGATGTGGGGAGGGGGAATGGGTGAACTGAGGGCGTCAGGATTTGGGTGGGGAGGGTTGGGGACGTGGA